TGTGTGCCACCTGTGGCATATGTGCCATAGGTTCGCTGGGTGGGTGTTGCACGCGCGTGTGCAGGGTGCATGGCATTGTGGGTGCTAGCACACACGCACACTATCGCTTTTGGCACACCACAACAAAAAGATTCGCCATCACTGGCCTAGTCTCTGGACCAGGCCTAAAGCCATCCATCCCCTTCTTTCAGAGCTCAGTGGGGGGAAAAACTTTGCAACTCTTCCTGTTTCAAAGTTCCCCTGGAGGTAGAAGACCATTATCACCTAACAGGTCTAGGAAGCATGACTTCTCTGTTGCAGTGCCACTCCCACCCCCAAGAGATTCACCGGATCTTATTCCCCCCAAAACCTTAGAATGATCAGGGGCTGGGAGTGGAGAGTGCTGCCTTGGGAATGATCAGGTACAACTGTGGGGAACCCACAGCTACCTAATGGCAGAGGGCAGAAAAATAAACTCAGTAAGAATCCTTCCGACTTTATCAGGCTGCGAAAAGGGACGGCGGAAGGCCTGTACTTTCAGACTTGGCAGACTCTGTTTCATCTGGTTGTGTTTCCTGTCTGATCTACTTAGAAAGCCTTGAGTTAGGGTGGGTGGTGGGCAACTTGTAGGTTACGTAGGGTTATTTTAGAGCAGGGGTCCCCAAACTTGGCAACTTTAAGTCTTGTGGACTTCAGCATAACTGGCTGGAGAATTCTGGGAGTTGAAGTCCACAAGTCTTAAAGTTGCCAAGTTTGGAGACTCCTGTTATAGAGTTTGAAGGGGACGTGGCATCTGGAGGCTGTTTCCCCCCCCCCCCCCTTTGGTTTATATTTTTAAATTTTTTAAAAAAAGATTGGTAATTAATGTAGGATGCTTCCCAGAATCACAGTAGAATCGGATGGCATATAATACATAACATCAAACAGGCAGCATTTGGAGTTTTTAAGGGCGGGGGGCAGCAGGTTTTGGTCTGACTTCCTGATAGATTCAGCTACAGGGTTTGTGTTGACAGGTGGCAAAATCTGGCCCAAATCCACAGAGAGAAACAACGAGATGAAATGATGGAATGATTCATAGGAACTATTCACGGACAATAGTCTCAGGTGTAATTCAATGGAAAACTGGTTATGGAACATCAGGAGTATTTTAATTATGGGCTGCATACAAACCACGTTTCGCTACAGTTACTATCATGAATTAGACTAGGCAAAGTGAATTATTTTGTTCAAGGTCATCACCATCTTCTACTACTCAGTCATTATTTCTTCAGTTCTTTTTCTCTCTCTAAATAGAGAACATTTTTCTAGCTTCAAAAAAATCCATCAAGGAAGAAATAGAGGAGGATTCCACATTGCGCCTTTGATCACAACTTTTCATTCAATTTCAGGATTTTTTTTAATTAAAAAAAAATAAAGCGGACAGATAAACCTAGAGAAAAGCCGTGGGGTCACTGCTCTCACAAACAGGAAGGTACATAGAAGGAATATTCCTGAATCGTGATTTTTAATGATAAATAAACATGGGACTAGAATGGCCAGACACCATCTGGAAACGCCTCATCTGTGAGGATTTGTCTCATGTTCACAAATGAGCCTTGGATGGAAAATCAGATTCCATCGAATTCTTTCCAGGGGCTAAATATATCTGCTTTCTGTTTGTCCAGCCTTTAATGCACGTGATTGCTACACCCACAGGCCAGAACATCTCTGTGTTCCAGTTTCCTATGACACAGCAGGGAGAGGGAAAACCCACGAGAACAAAACAAAGCTGCCACCCAAGGTTCAATTAACCAAGAAGGGCAGAGAGGACATGCCTAAGAAAGCTCTGGCCCTGTCTTGGATGGTCAGAAGGTATGAAAAAACTTCAAATGAATGATAGCACTGATGGTCTTCAATCTCTGATAAGAGACATGGTTAAAAAAAGAAGTCCATGTCTTCTTGAATGCTAGACTCAGGAACCAATGGGAAATTGAAACAGGCTCTTGGTCGCTTGGGGTTTGTTTGTTTTTCCTTAATGGTAGAAGGAGGAAAAGGGATGAATGGGAAACTGAATGAAAAATGGCTCAAGATACTGGTGCACAATTTGAGTAACTCTTAGCAATAGCACTTAGACTTATATTCTGCTTTACAGTGCTTTGCAGCCCTCTTGAAGCGGTTTACAGAGTCAGCCTCTTTCCCCCAACAATCTGGGTCTTCATTTTACCCACCTTGGAAGGCTGAGTCAACCTAGAACCTGGTGAAATTTGAACTGCCAAATTGCAGGCAGCTGGCAGTCAGTAGAAGTAGCAGTACTGCACTCTAACCACTGTGCCCCTGTGCCTTGACTGAGTATGGTTGACCAGAGCCTGCCCACCCCATATAAAATGTAGAGAGAATTTGATTAGCTGGATGAGATCAATCTCCTTACCTGTACAAACACAAAGTACCATAACTGATGGATGTTCCAGAAGTAGCCCAATCCAAATAAGGCAGTAAATAAACCACTCAGCAACATGCCTCCAGAAAGGTAGTAGCGCAGAGGAAGACGCTCACCGAAAATCCCACTGTAGGAAAATAGAATAGACAGGTTGTTAAATCACAGTTTGTTATCACAGTTTCCTATCAGTGCAAAATTATAGAATCCTGGAACTGGAGGAGGTTTGAAAGTCATCAAAACTTAGCTATATGGAGTTAAGTTCATGTTTCCTGCAATGCCATGATTTATTGTAACTAGGTTTATTGAAAAGCCATAGACACGTGGTTCTGACATTATTGTAAGCATTGTTTTACCAACCAAAAAAGTTGGGTTTTCCTATTAGACTAAGACACTGCATGATTTATCTGATCTTGGCTGAGTGTGATGTATGGACTGAGATACATTGACTGCAAGACAGAGATTCAGATTTTGAACCATGGGGGAATATATAGTTTCAATTGTGTCATCTTCAGAAAACCATGAACACAAGGTGAGATGTGAAGCCAGTCATCACTGGCCCCTGGTTGTGGTTGTCTCTCCACTTCTCTATGTTTTGTCCCAGAAATTCATTAGCCAAGATGATAACGTTTCTACAGGCAGGTAATTGTTACGCCACATCAAGAAGCAGATTTGGTTAAATCCAGGGGTGGGATTCAAATTTCTTAACAACTGGTTCTGTGGATGTGGCCTAATTTGTGGGTGTGGCTTGGTGGTCATGTAACTGGCTGGGCGTGGCTTGCTGACTGGGCATGGCTTGATGGTTATGTGTCTGGCTGAGCATGGCTTGTATGTAAATATTATAAATATTTATGTAAATATTGATTTTTTTTATAAAAAAACAACAACTTTTACCCAAAATCAGGCAAAGCAGGCAGGCAGATTGAGTTGCTCACAGAATCAGAGATTCATTCAGAGATCTGTCTTTCTGCAGTCGGCTACCTGAGTCTGTCACATAAAATTCGCTTGCAAGCAAACTCATAAAATTAACTCACAACATACTATGTATGTAAATATTGAATTTTTTATCAAAAAAGAGCAACTTTTGCCCAAAATCAAGCAAAGTAGGCAGGCAGATTGAGTTGCTCACAGAATCACAGATTCACTTAGAGATCTATCTATTTGTCATCGATTACCTGAGTCTGCATTGAAAAATAGAAGCTTCCTAAGGAATGTTCAGCTCTGCTTTTCGATTAGCTAGAAAGTAAGAAATCCAATGATTTCCTGCTTTCTAGCTAATCTAAATCTCCCGGCACAGCAGAACAGCTGATGGTCAGGGGAAAAAAAGGAAAAATAGCAACTTAGCAGGCAAGTTTGATGGCATGCATGCCAGGTAAGGAGTGAGTGGGCGTGGTGTGGCCAGCCAGTGGTGCAATTTGCTGGTTCTCCGGCAGGTAGAATCCCACCCCTGGTGAGAGTATGTTTTGCATGTGTGTGTAGACCATTTCCAAAAAACCTCAGCTGTGCTGCCTGGACAGCTGACAAGCGCTATGCGCGGGTATGCAGCACTTCAAACTCCTCTTCTTTCCTGATTTTTTTAACCTCAGCTGTGCCACGCAGGAAATAAAGGACAGCCAAGAGCCCAGGCAAGCCAAACAGAGCAGCAGACACCGAACCAGTTTGGTGTCTGCTGCTATTCAGAGCTACTGGTTCTACAAAACCGGGCTGAACCGGTAGCATACCACCCTTGGTTAAATCCCTTAAGGACATGCCCTAACTTTATCTGTGCTTTCTTTCTGTGTCAGGCCTAAAAGGCAAACTGTTCTGCCTTTGGGATTAAGGAATTGGCTTTGTGCACACAAGTTAAAATGGAGGGAGGGAAGGAAGGAAGGAAGGAAGGAAGGAAGGAAGGAAGGAAGGAAGGCCTCAAAGACAAAATGAAGATTAAAAAACACAACACAATTTGAACTGCAGTTGATGAGAAGGAAACTGGGTTTATTGTACACAATGCACACCTCTCTAAGCCAAACAACTTTCCCTTTAATCAGCCTACACAATTGTGATATATCAATAGCCTTCCAAATACCCTATGAAGCTCTTTAATAACCACTTAGGTGACCAAAGGGTCTGTTTAGTTCTGAGTAAACAGAATCTATCATCTTGACAAGAGTCCTGTTGACATTTCAGGCTCTCCATTAGCCGATTTCTTATCTGCCTGGCATTGTAACCCAGTTAAGGGAATTTTCTATCTCTGAACTACTTTTCTGCAGGGTGGACAAGTGGGTTGATTGTTCCTAAATGTGGCTGAAAGCTGTCATGTAATCAAACATTGTAGATATCTCCTAAGAGCACCTATTAGATCACAGGATGTTTTGAAACCATCAACTTGAGCTGCCAAGTCAGGGTGCCAAGTTGCTGACGCTCTCCATGATAAATTGTTGAAGTAATTGATTATGGAAAGGCCCTATCAGTAAAAGTCAACCAAAACCAAACCTTGATGACAAATGACGACAAAAGCAGCAGTGAAACTATCGGTAACAAACTGCCTTGCTAAAGCAAAGTCCAATGCAAATGTCTTTATGAAGGAAAACACCGCCCTGAGTGCAGAGAGGCTCCAGATCAGTGTTTCTCAACCATGGCAACTTTAGCACTGGTGGACTTCAACTCCCAGAATTCCCAGCCAACAGAGGGGACTCTATTTTTCCACACTGATTCTAATTGCAGAGAGGAACCAGATGTCCAATGAGGTCTGCAGTGGAAACCAAACCTGAGACCTATAGGTGCTGGTGGAAACTTCCTTTTCTTATTTCAGATCTTGCTTTCTTGGTTTTCCTACTCCTTACTGCTTTTCTGGGCATTGCAGAGCATAGGTCCCCCTGAAATACACACCTGATATACATCCCAATTGCATAAGCAACCAAGAAAGCGTTGTCCAGGGCTCCAAACAGTTCCTTGTAGTTATCCTGATCTGGGGAGAAAAACACAGAGTACATTGAAGGTCTTTTATCAAATAGCAAAAGAAACAATTTACAGTTTCTGAAACTTAAATAGATACAATGTTGGGGGTGGGGGGAAAACCCTAGGAACAAGGCTGGCCTCCGAAGCATTGGGGGAAAGATGGGATAGACTTCCCACGATGAAACGCATCCATAAAAAGCCCATGTGGTCCTTAGCTTTGTCTTCTAAAGTCCGATTCCCAACTGCAAGCAAACGTTTAAATAGATTTAATTTGCATCTGATTTTCCCCCACTCTGGATTCAGCAACAAACACTTTGCTGCCAAAAAACATTTGGTCAATCACCAACCTTTCTAGTTAAAAGTATTAGAAGATGAGGAGCCCTTTTTAACATTTCTGGGGCTGTAGTTTGGTTTTGTAGGATTTGTTTTCTGATTCCATATGATTACAGTATTACTTGGTTGGATGAAAATTAATAATCAATCCTCACTTCAAATCCTGCACAAGTTTAAAGCCGTGTCCAAACTGATGAGACTGACTCAAGGCCATTGCATCTAAAATGCTGAGTGAGTAGCACATGGAAGAAAGCTTCAGATTAGAATTATCTATTTGAAATGGCATGACCCTTGCAGGTAGCAATCTCTCCCTCTTTGGCCTAAAAACTCGGCAAAGCTGCTCAAATTGCTGAAAAGAGGTTAGAATAGCACAAAATTAAGTACTTGCTAATTTCCAGCCCTCCAAAGTCAAGGACACTTCAGATGACTCTCTACAATATTTTAATGAAGTCAAGATTCACATCAGTCATGGCATCAGAACCCTTGTAAGGATGGACTCTACTGGATCAGTGCTTAGGGTAGTGATAAAGGCTGCCATAAATGAACAGTCTGACTTCTGAAAGGGAGTTCTGCTACAGTCCAAAAGTTGCTAGAGAAAAACCTTAGATAAAACACAACTCCAATTTTTCAGACAGGAAGAAGAGCTTTGGAAGATGTCATGCCCCCGGAATCTGATTCAGAGGAGGCCGAGCAGCTGACAGGAAGTGGGAGTGTGGCTCTGGTGGCTGTGGAAGAAATTGGGGAAGGGCAAAGTCCAGCTGGGCCACCTCCTCTTCATCCTAGGGCACACAGGGAGGAAGGGAGAAGGGAGCAACATGAGTTGTGTGGCTTATGGGGGAGGAAAGGGCCCTGATTCCCTTCATTAGCTGCAGCTGACAACACAGTTTTAAAAAGGGAAGCTGCGCGCAGCCAGCTGTTGGTAGCAAATAGTAAATTTATCTGGTATCGTCGTGGTTTATCTGTGTTCCTGGCATCTTCCCAACTGTATGTGTTTTGCTGTGCTTTCAAGTCTGCAATTCCTTCTCCTGCCCTCTCAAGTTAATTACTGCAGCGTGGTTTGTTTGGATTTTCAGTTACAGTTTGTATGTACTTTGTTTTCGGACTAAATTTCCTCCACTTAAAGGCTGTTCCTTTAAGGAGAGTTTTTCTGCAGCCGAAGGTAACCTGGACATTGGGGGCCCAGTTGGAGATAATAAAAGGACTCTTCTTGCTTATTTGACTGTATTGCCTTTGTGCCACGCCCTGAGTTATCACAGAAAATATGTTGAAAAGGCGAGATCACCCATCAAGGTGTTTTTGTTCCTTTCCACCATAGCTGGAGATGCCAGGACAGCAGGAATGAGGAAAAGATGCTCTCCCCTAAGCTACAAGTCCTCCCCATTTCACAGTGCTTTGGTCTTCAGATATCTAACCTTCTTGTCCTACAGCAATTTGATGGGGTGATTGTGGGTTTGATGGCAAACAGATATCAAGAATACTTTACCAAAGGGCTTCCAATCACACCACGTGGTGCTGTTGGACGCATTGTTTGGCCTGAATCCCAGTGAAGAACAGTTATAATGCAGTTCGCTCTGATGAAAGAAAGGACAGAGAGCAGATCATCAGCATGGACATTGAATTTTAGGAATGTAAAAGGACAAATCTGTTAACAAGGAATTTATAATCTTGGGAATTGAAGAGAAATAGGGGGAGGCAATATGCACTGTAAACCGTTGGCTATTTCCTGGGAAGTAGTACTTTCTCTAGACCAGTGTTTATGAACTTTAGCAATTTTAAGATGTGTGGACTTCAACTTCCAGAATTCCCTAGCCAGCATGCTCTATTCCAGATGTCCCCAAACTTGGGAACTAGCATAGCCGGCTGGAGAATTCTGAGAGTTGAAGTCCACAAGCCTTAAAGTCCACAAGTCTCAAAGTTGCCAACCCCTGCTCTTTTCCACAGAGATTGTTGGCAAATATAGAAAAGATCTTGATCTGAATAGCCAATGGTTCTTCTCGTCCTTATATGCCTAAAAGACACTCTTCCACCCTAGGCTTTACTTATACCTACCTTTACAATGCTAATGGGTTTCCGTGAGAGATGAAAAGCAGTGTAGCACAGGAACGTTAGCACCAGAATTAATCCCCGGTACCTATGAAAAATATACATGAGGATGAGAGGAACATTACAGAAGGAGGTAAATCAATGACTACTTCATAGTAAAGTGCCTCAATTCACAGGAGTGTATAAATTGTGAGTCTTGTAGGACTTGGGCTGCCAAGTCTTAACACTTAACGGAACAGAAGTGAGAGTAAGTATGAAATATTTGTTTTCATCTTACCCAGTTCTTTGTCCTAACTCCACCTACTTGTTTTAGAGCCTGGCTTTCCATTTAAAATTGCAGCTCCTGGTCCCTTGAACGTTGTATATTGTATAAAGGACACAGACAAGATTCTCCAGAGCACCCAAGGCTTAACTCCTTAACAGAGGTGTCTACAGGATTAAGGTTTAACTAGCTTCCTAAAGTCCTCCAATAGTAGGACAGCTTGGATCCAGATTCAGTATGGCTGCTTAGGGTGCAGTGATGCTCTCCAAAGCATCTCAGGCATCGTTTGCAAGTGAAATTCTAGAGTTCCTAAAAAGCAGGGGGCAAGTGATTTTTTGTTCCTATTGGGAATTGGAAACAGTTCATGTTCTAATGCCATGATGGCGAACCTAAGGCACGTGTGCCAGAAGTGCCGGCACACAGAGCCACTTCTGCCGGCATGCAAGAGGTCACCCAGAAGAGCCCCACTGTGCATGTGCATGTCCCCCCCGCCAGCCAGCTGATTGTTGGGTATCTGTCACGCATGCATGGGGGGGAGAACGCATGCAGTGTGCGGGGGGGGTTGCATGCCCATGTGCAGAGGCATGCGGTGCAGGGGGAGTCGTGTGCGCATTACATCATCGGAGCAGCACGTGCGCATGAGCGTACTTTTGGCACGTAACGTACGGTTCTAATGGCTATGCCTCTTTGTGCATCACAAGCAATGGTCAGAGTTCCATTTTAAAGACATCTATACTGACAAATATTCTTGGGGAACCTTTCTAAAGCTTACCAACCATTCAATCAACTCAGCCTTTCAACACAGGGGAACCAAAGGTCTGATTTTGCTTAAGCCAGCGCTCTACGAAATAATGATGCCCACTGCTAACAACAAAAGTGACACCATGAATCTCTGGCCCAGGCTGGCACATTCAGACAATGGGTCCTTGATTCTGCCCCCCTTGCACCCAAAAAAACACAGGCCATAAATCAACATCCCGGGTCCACCATTTACTTATACCATGCCCTGGAATGTCTTTCCTTTACAGCCATTTTTTTTTAACACAAAACAACTTATCTCAGGTTTATTTAAATCCCAGCTGGTTGAAAACCAACAAGCAACATTTATTTGAACTTTCTCAAATAAAGCCACTATGACACATATTCTTTTCCCTACTCAGCATCCTTGTTACTTCCCTTATTTGCAGTCTTGCTATCTAGAGTGACTTCCTTGCAATGGTAAAGATGTGGTAACCTTACCATGATGGGAAAAAGGGGGCATTTAAAAAAAGATTATTTTTGGAGAGTGGTAGGGATAACTAAATGTCCCTTCTTAGATGCTCTCCTTTTCCTAAGATAAAGAATCTAGAATGCTCAACCTAACCCTACAAATAGAGCTGCTCCAGAATATTTGTTGCCTTTTTGGATGGGACAGAGAGATCTGGTTTGCATTAAATTGCTTTCTTCTGCTGGATTCAGATATCAGGATTAAATGAGGATATTTTGCCTTATCCTACACTTAGGCAAGAAAAACCAAAAGTACACATATAGACTGGGTGAAACCAGGCTTAATAACAGTAACTGTGAGAGGGATCTTGGAGTCTTAGTGGACAACCAGCTAAATATGAGCCAGTAGTGTGTGCAGCAGCAGCCAAAAAAGCTAATGCAATCCTAAATTGTATTAACAGAGGGATACAATCAAGATCAAGTGAGGTACTAATATCACTCTATAAAGCCTTAGAAAGACCACACCTAGAGTACTGCATCCAGTTTTTGTCACCACATTATAAAAAAGATGTTGAGACTCAAAGTACAGAAGAGAGCAACCAGGATGATTAGGGGACTGGAGACTAAAACATATGAAGAACGGTTACAGGAACTAGGCTTGGCTAGTTTAGTGAACAGAAGGACCAGGGGAGACATGATAGCAGCCTTCCAGTATTTGAGGAATTGCCACAGAGAGGAGGGGGTCAAGCTATTTTTTAAAGCTCCTGTAGGCCAGACAAGGAACAATGGATGCAAACCGAACAAGGAGATGTTCAACCTGGAAATAAGGAGAAATTTTCTGACAGTGAGAACAATCAACCGATGGAACAGCTTGCCCTCGGAAGTTGTGGGAGCGTCATCACTTGAGACTTTCAAGAAGAGACTGGACTGCCATTTGTCAGAAATGGTGTAGGGTCTCCTGCTTGGGTGGGGGGTTGGACTAGATGACCCCCTTCCAACTCTGATTATCTGTTAAATCCTTCCATGTAATTGAATCCATGTAAATGAGTACAAAAATTGCTTGGCAAGTAAAAAGGAAAGATTACACAGTAGGTAAGCCAATTCATCTGCCCCTTCCTATTTTCTTACAGAATGAGCAATACAGTCTTTCCTTGTGAGGTCTTTAGTATTCTCTGAGTTTCATAAACCAAGCTCAGAGAGCACCAAAAACTCGACAGTTCAACTTGAACTACATATTCAGTGTTTTCTTCCACTGGAATCTTTCCATTCTCCAAAGCAAGCCAGGACAAGCAGATGTTCAGAGTCACATGGAGAGTGCCGATCGAAATTAAACCATGCAAGGAAAGTTGACTTCAGTCTTCTGTGTGCTACAGAAGCAAGAGGCGGCTAGCTTGGAGAAAACAAATTCCAGCCTCCACTTGGGAGCTTTTACTTATCAATTCTTTTATCTTATCAAGCAAGATAACCAAGAGACAATCTCTGAAAGGGCGAAAGGAGATGCTTCCCAACCGTATGCAAAAAAAAAAATTGCTCTGAGTTATTTCTTCACCAGATAGCGCTAACAGGATCTTTTCAAGTGGAAGAATAAGTAGGAAATAGGAAAGCAGAAATTAACTTGCAGTATTTAAATGATCTTCTGCTCCGGATCATATTACTTCTTTGCTTTATTTTGTTCTGAATCATAGGTTTTAAGATATTTGAAATGCCTGTTTGTTTGTTTAGCCACTGTGTCTAGGAACAGCTTCCGGATCTTAATGTTGATCCTGACTGTTTATAGCATTCAATTAATTCAAAGTCAACATTGTTGAAGTATTGGGTAGCTAATGACAGCATTGGATTCGCTATACATTTAAGAGTGTCTCTTTTTTCCGTGTGGGGGCCATTAAAGCTATTTGGTCTTAGCAGGAAATTGCAAGCTCTGCTCTCTTTCTTCCTGTTACAATTGCTTTCACTTCTGCCTCTAGGCCAAATTGAGGTATTCAAAGAAAATTCTGGAGAAAACACAGCTTTTTAAAGAGCCAGAAAAAAAAAACTGACTCAGGAAAGATGTGGCGTTTGTACAGCGATACAGGTTGAAACCCTTTCAGCCGCATATACCTGCCCGTAAGGCCTTAGCGCCTCCAGAGATTGCAACCAACTAATCCCTGATATTGTAAATGAATAGGGTGCAATTATACAGATGGTATTTAAATACTTCAAATATATTTACATTGAAAGGACAATTGAATAAAATCAAATTTGTAAGTGTTACTAACTTGGCAGCTGCAGTGATTCACTTAACAATGGGGCAAAACTCATTTAATAACTATCTCACTTAGCGACAGAGATTTTGCGCTCAATTGTGGTCATAAGTCAAGGACTACCTGTAGTATGTACTGTAACTTCATGCCAAGATGTTATTAAAACCACACCATTTACTAAACCATACTAAAATGCCAATGCAGACCCTGAAAATATCCACTATACAGAAAGCCCTGAAGTAGTCTAGTGATTTGTTGGACAGGTGATGACTCAAAGTGCCCTCCAAAAGAACTGATCTCCAACCCATCATCTCCAGCAAGGGCCATGTTTTCTACAGATGATGGCCTTTCTCTTATTGCTTGCCTGGACTGTTGGAGAAGAGTGGTGTCTTGAGGTCATCTTTTCATACTTCCAGGCTTAAAATTATTCCTGGTTGGTTTGGTTCTCCATCTGCTATGTACTCATACAGTATAAGCCTTGTAGGAATCTAGGTCACTATAACTGGGGCACCCGATGCCTTTGGCAATGACTGTTGGAAGCACAAACAATGTTCCATTCATAATTTCATAGCATGGCCCAAACCCTAGAACTTCAAAGGTTCGGCATCTTCTCTGTGCCAAGTATGTTCTTGCAGTCTTAAATACTATATAAATATCTTTGGACGGGGGTGGGGATGGAATTTGATGGATTTGAGGCCTATTTTCCTCCCCGTTTACCTTAGAATATTAGGAAGTCTTGCTTTTTTTGCATTGCTGGTTGCCTTCCATTAACTGGAGAGAAAAGGGATGCAACTGTAATGAAGAGAAAGCCTTTTTTTAAGGAAGTGCCTTGATTTCAGATGAAGGTTTTTTAAGAATCCAATTGTTTGGGGAACATGCCCTTACAGCCTGTGATGTATATGGGAATGGCCTTAGGAAGTAGGAGAAAGAGTTGCAGATTGGGCAACTGGTGTGTAAAGCATATCTCAGCCCAAAGAAGGAGAAAGCATTCCCACAAGGGACCGCCCCTAGTTTTCTGAAAAGTAAAAGGAGAGGAGAGGAGAAATACTTTTAGTCTTGCAAGATTCTGTTATTGGAATCTTATAATATAGATAAGAACCTTCAATCAGAGGAAATAAACCTTTTCATGCAAACTCTGAATAGGGCTATGTGTCTAGAACAGGGGTGTCAAACTCAAGGCCTGGGGGCCGAATCCGGCCCATTAGGTGTTTAGATCTAGCCCACGGGCCCGCCCTGGAAGCACGGTGCCTCTGCCAGCAAAAATGGAGTTCGAGAGGGCCATGTACAGCCTGCCCAGGCTCCGTTTTTGGCCACAATGGCCTCCTGCAGCCCCCTGCCAGCGAAAACGGAGCTCAGGAGGGCCTTGCGCAGCTGGCTTGG